ATTGACTTACTTTGTCCACAAGGATGCTGAGGAAAGCAGAGCATGTCTACAACTACTAAAGCATCTGGACTCGGCTAGTACATGTGCCAACAAAGTTCTTAGGTTTGGTACCCTAGAAACTTCAGTATCACGATGGCTCTTGCTTATGGCTCTAAAGCATAAAACAAATCTCCATCCAAGACAAAACAAAACAAAATCTCCATCCCAGTCTACAGGGTTTCTTTAAAGGCAAGATAAGAACAGTGCCAAGAACTGATACAGGGGATAATAAGCCTCTGACTTAGTACATCTTCTGATATAGAGGTGAACCTGTGTATGGCTTCAGGCTTCAAGGGGTACTGAGGTGAATTAGGAAGTGGTTTAGAAGGATCATTCTGAATTTTAATGAGTTTGGGACTTTTTATTGTTTCCACATCCATGGAAGAGGCCCATAGAGTACCAGGGATTTCACAGAGATCTATCAGTTCAGTCCAGTTCAGCCATTCAGTCCTGTCCAACTCTTTGCAACCCCATGGACTGCAGCACGCCAGGCTTCCCTGTCCATCACCAACTACCAGCGCTTGCTCAAACTCGTGACAATCGAGTTGGTGATGCCTTTCAACCACCTCATCCTCTGTTGTCCCCTTCTCCTCCTGTCTTCAATCTTTCCCAGCATCAGGGTTTTTTCCAACAAGTCAGTTCTTCTCATCAGGTGGCCAAATAGCATCCTTACTTTATGGAATTTAATAGTCTCCGCAAGATAATCAGTTTGGACTTGGAGAATACATAATGCCTCAGTGTCAGATGAGTCTGGAAATTCTAAGATTATTTCTCCCAATGAAAATTTTACTAGGCTTTATAATGCAGAAAGCCGGTCTTCCCTCCACCCAAAACAAAAAACTTTTTATTGACGTATAGTTCATTTACAATGTTGTGTTAGTCTCAGGTATACAGCAAAGTGATTCACTTATAGATACATACTTTTTCAGATTATTTTTCATTATAGGTTATTGAGTGAAGAATGAAGTCGCTCAGTCGTGTCCGACTCTTTGCGACCCCATGGACTGTAGCCTACCATGCTCCTCCATCCATGGGATTTTCCAGGCAAGAGTACTGGAGTGGGTTGCCATTTCCTTCTCCAGAGGATCTTCCTGATCCAGGGATCGAACCCAGGTCTCCCTCATTGTAGGCAGACGCTTTACCGTCTGAGCCACCAGAGAAGCCCTTTATAGGATATTACAAGATGTTGAATGTAGTTCCCTGTGTTATAGTAGGTCCTATTGTTTATCTATTTGTGTATACTAGTGTGTATCACTTAACCCCAAACTCGTAAATGACTCCTTCTCTCTTCCTTTCCCCTTTGCTAACCTTAAACTTGTTTTCTGTCTGTGAGTCTATTTGTGTTTTGTGAAAGTGAAAATGAAAGTAAAAGTCACTCAGTTGTGTCTGACTCTTTGCAACCCCAAGGACTGTCCATGGAATTCTCCAGGCCAGAATACTGGAGTGGGTAGCCTTTCGCTTCTCCAGGGGATCTTCCCAACCCAGGTCTCCCATATTGCAGGCAGATTCTTTATCAGCTGAGCCACAAGAGAAGCCCAAGAACACTGGAGTAGGTAGCCTATCCTTTCTCCAGGGGATCTTCCTGACCCAGGAATCGAACCAGGCTCTCCTACATTTCAGGTGGATTCTTTACCAACTGAGCTATCAGGGAAGCCCATTTCTGTTTTGTAAATAAGTTCATTTGTATCATTTTTTAAGGTTCCATATATAAGTGATATCATATGATATTTGTCTTTGTCTGACTTACTTTACTGAGTATGATAATCTCTAGGTCCATCCATGTTGCTGCAAATGGCATAATTCCATTCTTCTTTACAGATGAGTAACAGTCCATTGGGGTGGGTGCATCTATGTGCTGTGTGTACACATACCACATCTTCTTTATCTATTCAACTGTTGATGGACATTTAGGTTGCTCCCACATCTTGACTACTGTGAATAGTAAGTAGCTGTATAAATAAATAAATAGTGAATAGCTATATCTAGGAAATTCAGAAGGGTAGTATCATCTAATAGCAAAATATCACTTTCAGAGAAAAAACCAACAGTTATGGGTTCCAATAAAGGAATTATTTGAACTTGACATTACTCCGAGGTAGCTCTTCATGTATCACGTGACTTTATTTTTATTTTAATATTTAAAATTTTTTTATTTATGTATTAGCTGTGCTGGGTCTTCATTGCTTCATAGGCTTATCTCTAGTTGTGGCGAGTGGGGGCTGCTCTGAGGTTGCAGTTTGTGGGCTTCTCATGGCGGTGCGGGCTTCAGTAGTTCTGGTTCCCAGGCTCCAGAGCACAGGCTTCATAGTTGCGGCACATGGGCTTGGCTGCTGTGCAGCATGTGGGATCTTCCTCCCAGACCAGAGATCTATCCCATGTCTTCTGCATTGGCAGGTAGATTCTTTACTGCTGAGCCACCAGGGAAGCCCCCATGACAGTTTTAAAGTAAACAGAATTGGGGGGTGGTGGCAGGAAGGAGCTCCCTGGGGGCCTGGTGGTTAGGATTCGGGGCTTTCACTGCCATGGCCTGGGTTCAATCCCTCATGGGGAACTGAGATCCCACCAGTCATGTGGAACAGCCAAAAAAATAAAAAGAAAGAAAAGAAATAAGTAAATAGAGCTGCTCTGGTATCTATCAATATGGTAGAAATTCTCTATTTAAGTTTACTTTTAATTTTCATTCTTGAGTTAAGGAATCATTGAAAATAGCTTGCTGGGCAACTTCTTGGAGGCTTATCATTGTTGACACTCATCACAAGAATCTGGGAGTTGTGGGCTCTCTTATAGGGCAACTGGATTGTTAAAAGTGGGCCAATCTACCACTATCCCTTTTGATTACAAGTATCTCTACCAATAGGGTCAAAATATGAAGTAGGAATGTACCTCTTGAAGTTGGGTCAGATTGTTACCTTGAATTTATTTGCCTGATAGCCTTTTTCTGTTCTACTGTTCTTTCAAAATGTTCAGCAAAATGTCGAAGCTCTGGGAGAGAAGTGACTTCTGATTCTTATTTATCAGAATAAATAAGAGCTCCATAACAAACCATGGAGCTCTGGGTGAAGCCTATTAACAAAATGGGCACACAAGAGAAAACTAGTCCCCAGATCGTTGAGACCAGAGTATTGTCTGTGTGTGCTAGGTCACTATAGTTGTGTCTGACTCTTTGTAACCCCCTGGACTATAGCTCCCCAGGCTCCTCTGTCCAAGGGATTCTCCAGCCAAGAATACTAGAGTAGGTTGCCGTGCCCTCCTCCAGGGAATCTTCCCAACCCGGAATGAACTGAAATAGACAATCTTGCTTAGATTTCAAAGACAAAGAAGAGCAGGCCTCTGACCTTGTTTGTTAACCTTCCTGGACTGCCTGAGATGGGTACAAGCCTTGTAGCACCATAGATAAGATGGGATGAATTTTGAGATTGTTGAGCCCCTAGAGGCAGTCTAGTAAACCAAGCCCCAGGCTTAACAACATTCCAAGTTTTACATGACAAAACAAACAGCATTAACAAGAAACCACAGCTGCAATTTGCTTACAAATTGATGATTATATCAGTTTAAGTCCTGGGATTATAAGTGAGAACTCCAAACTGCAGTTTTTCAAGTCTCACCTCAAGGAGTGCTGCCTAGTACTTTTCCCAATTGGGACTCCAGATGTGCTGTGTCATGGGACTTCCCAGCACTGTTTAAGTCTGTATGTTGGTCAAAACCTTATTTGGTGATGTATCCTCTATTAGTTCTCTTTTCTTTTAATGTTAGTATACTGAAAGTAAGCTAGATAATTCTCTAATTAGTATTATCTATTTGTATAGAAACAGGGGCTTATTTTGTTAACAAATCCTTTGAATTTGAGAGGAAAGTGAAAAGTTTCTGCAAAGCAGGTTCTTTTCAATACATTTCTTAAAGCCAATTTTGAGCATTTCCTGGATTCAGTATCATGTTAACAAACTAGCTCAGCAGGTAAAGAATCCACCTGCAATGCAGGAGACCCTGGTTCAATTCCTTGGTCGGGAAGATCCACTGGAGAAGGGATAGGCTACCCACTTCAGTATTCTTGGGCTTCCTTGGTGGCTCAGCTGGTAAAGAATCCACTTGCAATGCGGGAGATCAGGATTCAATCCCTGGATTGGGGAGATCTCCTGGAGAAGGGAACAGCTACCAAAAACGAAGATCATGGGAACTGGTCCCATCACTTCATGGCAAATAGATGTGGCAACAATGGAAACAGTGAAAGACTTTATTTCCTTGGGTTCAAAAATCACTGCAGAAGGTGACCGCAGCCATGAAATTAAAAAATGCTTGCTCCTTGGAAGACAAACCTAGAGAGCATGTTAAAAAGCAGAGACATTACTTTGCCGGTAAATGTCTGTATAGCCAAAGCTATAGTTTTTCCAGTAGCCATTTTGGATATGAGAGTTGAACCATAAAGAAGGCTGGAATCATTCCAAGAATTGATGATTTCCAACTGTGGTGTTGGAGAAGGCTCTTGAGAGACCCTTGGACTGCAAGGAGATCAATCCAGTCAATCCTAAAGGAAGTCAGTCCTGAATATTCATTGGAAGGACTGATGCTGAAGCTCCAATACTTTGGCCACCTGATGCGAAGAACTGACTCATTGGAAAAGACCCTGATGCTGGGAAAGATTGAGGGCAGGAGAAGGGGAGGACAGAGGATGAGATGGTTGGATGGCATCACCGACTCGATGGACATGAGTTTAAGTAAGCTCCGGGAGTTGGTGATGGACAGGGAGGCCTGGCGTGCTGCAATCCATGTGGTGGCAAAGAGTCGTAGACGACTGAGCGACTGAACTGAACTGAACTGACGCGAACAGCTTGCAGGCCCCGGGCGGGCGTGAGCAGACTCGCCGCGCGGTGGGCGTGGCTCTCTCCGGCCCGCCTCCAGCCGGTCCTCCTCTTTTCCCCACGCCCCGCGCTCTCTGTCCGGTCTCCGCATGCGCGACCGAGCCCTGGGGGGCGGGGCTGCTCCATCCGGGTATTCAGCGGCCTGTGGGTGTTTTGTTTTCTTGGCTGGAACTTGGAGCGGTAGGTAGGAGGCCCGGCCCCGGCGCGACACCGGGATCCGGACGTACTGCACCGGCCAGGCTGGACTTAAAACTGTAAGTACCAGGCGGGAGTAGGGGGAAGGGGAGGGGCCGTCCGCTGCCGGCCGATTGAGGCCGGAACCGTCTGCCCGGCTGATGCTGCCTGGGTCGTTGCGTGCATCCTCTTCGGGAAGCTGCAGGCTCAAGCCAGCGCCTTGCTGGACCCTTCTTTCCTGCCCACTTACTGCTGACCTGGGTTCGGCCGGGGGCGGAGAGGGCGACCACCTCCGCGCTCCGGACAGTGCCCTCCCCTGGACGTCGCAGGATCCCTGAAAATCGAAAATCACCATGCTCCTCGCCCCCGCTGCTTTAGATCTGGGGAAGCTGACACCCGGGAAGGAGTTGAAGCCGGCTGGTCCCCTCGGCGAGGGACAGGGCCGAGCTAGAAGAGCTAGATCTAGTTCCCACGTCTTCCCAGTCGCTGGCCACCCTCTACACCTCACATCCCCGGAGTCTGGAGGGGCGGAGTTTGGGGTTGAGTGTGCGGGTCGTAAACCAAAGAAAAACGGAGGATTCGGGTTGGCGTCATCGGGGTAGATCGGAATCAAAAGGTACTGGATTGCTATTCCGCCCAGGGAAGAATTTTTTTTTTTAAGTTAATTTTCAAAATTAGACGTCCTCAAGGCCTATTAGCACAGCTTTTAATTAAATTTTTTAAAGGGAGTTTCCAACTGGATTCGTTACTTCTGTAACAACCCTGGTTGTCAATTACAGAGTAGCTTCATAGAGGTTAAGATTCACTGTAGGAATTTGGATGTTTGCTTATTAACAATTTACACTTAAGGCAGGCTTTTTCATATTCTGAGACAGATAATGTGGATGTGTCTCACACTGGGTCTGTATAGCCCAGCTCAAAGGAGTGTTTTGTGTAATTGTCTATGGTAATTTATCCGTGGTAATTTAGCAGTGGGTTCCTTTTTCTTTCTTTCGTTTCATCCTTCCTTCCGTGTGTGTGCGCGCGCGCGTGCTTAGTCGCTCAGTCGTGTCTGACTCTGCGACCTTTTGGACTGTAGCCCACCAGGCTCCTCTGGCCATGGGATTCTCCAGGCAAGAATCCCGGAGAGGGATGCCATACCCTCCTCCTCCAGGGGATCTTCCCGACCCAGGGCTCCAAGCTGCGTCTGCTGTGATCTTCCGCATTGCAGGCGGATTATTTACCCTGCATTGGAAGCCCTCCTTCCTGCCCTTTCTTTATTCCCCTTTTCCTTTTTTAATGGTCTGAATTAATACTGACTTCAATTTTGTGCTTTCTTTTGGCTGGAGAACATGTTAGAATCAGAGGTAGAGATTATTAAAATGAAATGGCTGTTCTTTGCGTAGAGGGCTTCCCTTACGGTTCAGCTGGTAAAGATTCTGCCTGCAGTGCGGGAGACTTGGGTTTGATCCCTGGGTTGGGAAGATCCCCTGGCGAAGGGAAAGACTACCTACTTCAGTATTCTGGCCTGGAGAATGCCATGGACTGTGTAGTCCATGGGGTTTCGGAGAGTCGGAGACGACTGAGCGATTTTCACTTTCACTTTTACATAGAAATGAAGCCACAAGACAGGCTTGGAAAAAAAATAATTAAGTGAAAGGACTTGATGTGAAGAAATGTTATAGATAAAATGTGTAAATTGTTAAGAGAAGTATTTTTCATCTGAGTCCATACTTTAACTCAACCAAAATTTTATCATTTGTCTCTTCACTGTGCTAGTGCTGCTGGACTCTGAATATCTAAAGAACATAATAACTTAGTCTGGAATTAAAGTTAATAATCATTATAAATTTTTTTCAGTATTTGGACACCCACTTTTGCTAAAAATCATCTTTTAAATTAAAAAAAAAAACCACAACAACTAAATGAGTCCACACTTTGTTTTCCAGAGTTTTGTGGAAATTAATCAAAAGCTGAATCTCAAATGTTCTGAAGTATAGGTAGCAAATAAAGTATTTATAACTTCATTTTTATTAAATTATTCCTAAACTGATTATCTAGAAACAAGTCAGATTTGAAGAAATTCACTAGAAGTACTGTATTAAGTTGGTTTTGTTTGTTTATTTAAGTGACCTGAAAAAATGTCTGGATTTCTGGAAGGCTTGAGGTGCTCAGAGTGCATTGATTGGGGGGAAAAGCGCAATACTATTGCTTCCATTGCTGCCGGTGTTCTAGTAAGTGTCCTTGATCATTTGGGCCTTCCTTAATTTGATGTGTTTGTTTTTATGTATTTTGAATTCTGTGTGATTTCTTTAAGTATGTACTATTTATTTTATCTTTGACCACTGAATTTTTAAAAATAAATGTTGATATTTTTGTTTATGAGAGGATTTATGTATTGCATTTAAAGAGTTGACATTATGGCTTAAAATTTGATATTATTTTTCTTTTACTGCAAAAACATAGTATAGTGAGACAGTATATTTTATATATTTATTCACAACATGGATTATGCCTCCTCTTAGTGAGTACATGAAATTACCAAGAAGTGTTCAAGAAACAATGAGGTCAGAATCATTCAAAAGATATGACTGCATTTCTCCATAACTTAACTTTTCAGTCTCATTAGATAAATAAAGAGCTCATTAAAATATATTGTTTAGAAGTAATTTATAGAATAAAATTCTTATTTATATTACATATCCTCAAGGCATGTGATTTTTTTTGTGCTCTAATGTTGACATATACTCTAAAGAATGAATTTTAAGTAAACAAGCAGAAATCTAAGTTTAAATATGTCTCTTTACCTAGCCTCTTGACAGTTATAATCTCTGAAAAATAACTGTCCTAAATTTTTCCAGGGTAATGTCAAAATATAAGACTACTATAGAAATTCTGCTATTATATTAAAAAAAAAAAAGCTTTGAATTTTAGTCTCTGAAGAAAATACCTTGAGTATGTTGGGCTCAAAGTGTTTAAAAAAAAAAAGGCAAAAGAATACTGTGCTACCCAATAAAAATGTCATTAATAGAGTATAGATCTGTCTGTAACCTGATAAAAATAATTTGATTAACCTAAAATAGTTATTTATAAATAAATAGAGCTAACTAGGTCAAGGTTGGAAGTGGGGATAGAGAAGGGGGTTACTTTCCAAATCAGCTAAACTACATGTCAGAATTTGGTTAATATCATCTTTTGTAAGTGTCTGCTCAAGTGATAAAAAATATTTATGCAGTTTTAATGTCTTTTTTCATTTTATGTTTGTCCTTGATAATGTCCAGAGCCAAATTCAATTAAGATAAATTATAATTTTGTGTTTTAATGAATTTAGCATCACCCCTGAAACCATCTGTAGACTGCACTGTAGTTTATCAAAAGAGAAAGCAGTACTGCACAGCACATTGTTTATTTCACAGCACCAAGAGACTAGCTAAAATTCTATTAACAATAATTATTCCCCATATTATTTTGAGTACTGTTTTTTTCATTTTCAATAATATCTTTCTGGAGGCTTTTATCATCAGCAACAGGCCACTCCTCTTGTCAGTTCAAGTCTAAATGACTTTTTTCCTTTCTCCTGCCATGAAATATAATTTACTTCTAGTTCACAAAAATTAGATCACAGATTTTTTAAATGACAGTATAAAAGAATGATTGTAATCATCTTAGAAAAGAAGTTTGTGTTAATAAATAATAGCTGTGGGATTTTAGGGTATCTAATCTTTCATCAGATACTAAGCAAAGTACTAATTGTATGCAAGAAGCTGCTGGAAGATTTAAGAAAATTGTGGACTTTATTAGAAGGGATCTCTCACTTAGATTCTTTGCTTTTTAGCCAGTAAGACAAGAAATGACTGTCATTTCTCCTCCTGTGGTTTGTTTTAGTTTTTTACAGGCTGGTGGATTATCATAGATGCAGCTGTCATTTACCCCCGCATGGACGAATTCAACCACTCCTACCACGCGTGTGGTGTCATAGCAACCATAGCCTTCTTAATGTAAGTGTCATCGCTAGTGACACGACTTGCACAGATTGTCCCAAGAGAAATATGTTTTACATACAGTTGAGTAGAGTTAATATTTTTAAATGTTACCAAATTAACATATGGGTTGTGATTTAAAAGTCAAATCATAGAGAAGGACTTAGGAAGAAAAACAGTGATCCTCTTTTCTGTTCTTCTTATTTTAATATTTATTTATTTGGCTAAGCTGGGTCTTTAGTTGCAGCAAGGGAACTCTAGTTGCAGCATGTGGGATCTAGTTCCCTGACCAGGGATTGAACCCAGCCCCCCCAAACACAAACATACACACACACTGAGAGTGTGGGGCTTAGCCACTGAACCAGCAGGGAAGTCCCCAGAGCAAACTTCTAAAGAAAGCGAGGCTGTCTCAATTTAGAGTGGTATTCTGTGAAGCTCAGTGAAAGAGGTTTTATGTTTGGAACGTGTGTCAGGGATGGACAGAGTAAGATTTTACCGCCTGCATCTCTTCGTGCTGAGTATGTCTGATGTGTACAAACAGAAAACTAGATAGGACCAAGCTAAAGATCAGTCCAGTCTTAGCAAGGTATAACTCTAAGAATTTCACTCTCAAATTTTAACAAGAATCAGAATCATCTAAAGGATTTGTTCAAATTCAGATTGTTGGGCCCTACACCCAGAATTTCTGCTTCAACTTGGGGTAGAACCAGGGAATTCTCATTTTAAAGCATGTCCAGGTGATGCTGATTCTGCTGGTCTGGGGACTATATCCAGTGCTTCACAGGATACTGATTGAGGGGCCTTGCCTATTGTTGTATGAACCCATTACTCAAGACTCCTGAAGACTTAAAAGTTGCAGAACTCTTATGGTTAGATAGCATCATCAACTCAATGGACATGAATTTGAGCAAACTCCAGGAGATAGTGAAGGACAGGGAAGCCTGGCATGCTGCAGTCCATTGGGGTGGCAAAGAGTCGGACCTGACTTCGCGACTGAACAATAACAACAACAGCTTGTTGTGCCTGGCAGTTTGATGTCATGGATAATTTCCTCGTAGAGTCAGAGACCCTGACCTCTTGGTTTTATTTTGTTCACACAGGATTAATGCAGTATCAAATGGACAAGTCCGAGGTGATAGTTACAGTGAAGGTTGCCTGGGTCAAACAGGTAAATAGATGCAAACAGCATCTTACTGTACATTCATAAAATAAGAATTATACATGTAAGAGCCACTTGTCTGACTTCTTCAGATCGGGAATAGGATGGAGATGTATCTAAGGAGAGGTTGTAGAAAAGTTGCATTTGGTCAATGGTTGTCAAGTAGTTCAGAATACAAAGTTTTGAGTATATAACCCTGTCCAATAATAGTCCTATATAGATGTAAATGTATACAGTGTATAGTAAAAAACACTATATAATAAAGAATACATTATGCAAAGTGCAAAATAGACTTTCTAGTATTTGAAACTTTACTATATAAATTATTTTCTTCCCTTTTTTCCCAACCTTAATTGATTGAATTAGCATTTTGATACAGCTTAGATTCATAGTTTTGGCATGTTTCAAAATACACAACAGAAAATTTACTATCTTAACTATTCTTAAGTGTACAGTTCGGTAGTAGGTACATTCATTTTAATTGTGCAGCCAGTCTCCAGAAATCTTTTAATCTTGCAAAACTGAATAGGCAATAGAATTATAGTGCTTAGATTCACCCAGGCCTGCCTCTCTCCACCGAGGAACTCAAGTCCCCTGGACCCATGGCCATGTGCCCAAGGTAGGCAGAGCACAGGATGTGTGTAGCACAACTTCTTTTTTTTTTTTTTCCATTTTTATTAGTTGGAGGCTAATTACCTTACATCATTACAGTAGTTTTTGTCATACATTGAAATGAATTAGCCATGGATTTACATGTATTCCCCATCCCGGTCCCCCCTCCCACCTCCCTCTCCACCCGATCCCTCTGGGTCTTCCCAGTGCACCAGGCCCGAGCACTTGTCTCATGCACCCAACCTGGGCTGGTGATCTGTTTCACCCTAGATAATATACATGTTTCAATGCTGTTCTCTTGAAACATCCCACCCTCGCCTTCTCCCAGAGTCCACAAGTCTGTTCTATACATCTGAGTCTCTTTTTCTGTTTTGCATATAGGGTTATCGTTACCATCTTTCTAAATTCCATATATATGTGTTAGTATACTGTAATGGTCTTTATCTTTCTGGCTTACTTCGCTCTGTATAATGGGCTCCAGTTTCATCCATCTCATTAGAACTGATTCAAATGAATTCTTTTTAATGGCTGAGTAATATTCCATGGTGTATATGTACCACAGCTTCCTCATCCATTCGTCTGCTGATGGGCATCTAGGTTGCTTCCATGTCCTGGCTATTATAAACAGTGCTGCGATGAACATTGGGGTGCACGTGTCTCTTTCAGATCTGGTTTCCTTGGTGTGTATGCCCAGAAGTGGGATTGCTGGGTCATATGGCAGTTCTATTTCCAGCTTTTTAAGAAATCTCCACACTGTTTTCCATAGTGGCTGTACTAATTTGCATTCCCACCAACAGTGTAAGAGGGTTCCCTTTTCTCCACACCCTCTCCAGCATTTATTGCTTGTAGACTTTTGGATAGCAGCCATCCTGACTGGCGTATAATGGTACCTCATTGTGGTTTTGATTTGCATTTCTCTGATAATGAGTGATGTTGAGCATCTTTTCATGTGTTTGTTAGCCATCTGTATGTCTTCCTTGGAGAAATGTCTGTTTAGTTCTTTGGCCCATTTTTTGATTGGGTCATTTATTTTTCTGGAGTTGAGCTGGAGGAGTTGCTTGTATATTTTTGAGATTAATCCTTTGTTGCTTCGTTTGCTACAACTTCTTGTAGAGTCCAATTTAGCCAAAGATTTGAGGAGACAGATACTTATTGAACATTTTAAATTATAAACTTATATCCATACAAAAATAAACCTGAATATAGGCAAGATTTAGGTGACTTTTTTCCCCTCTCCCTAATGAAATAAAAAGAACTGCAGTGGTCGATTCAGGTCTGTGTTTTCAGACTCCCTCTGGTTCACTCTCTGTTATCAATAGATGAACTTAAATAGAAGCAATACAGATATACTGATATACTGTGACCTTGTAAAATCTAAATGAAGAGATAAATGTTAGCACAGCTCTGGGGGTCCAGAGCTGGTTGTATTTGTGTATCATATCATATCTATAAGTGAGAGCTTATTATTTCAGAACTATGTTTTATATCTTGGGTATGAAATCAGAAATTTACATATAACATTATTTGCTGTGCTTTATTGAGCAAGGCAGGGTTTTTATTAAAATGCATTTGTGCTAATTAAATAAACTCATCTCAGAATTCACTTTAGGCGAGCTAATGACTGTTTCAGTCGCTCAGTCATGTCTGACTCTTTGCGACCGCATGGACTGCAGCACCCCAGGCCTCCCTGTCCATCCCCAACTCCCAGAGCTTACTCAAACTCATGTCCATCGAGTCGGTGATGCAATCCAAGCATCTCATCCTCTGTCATCCCCTTCTCCCGCCTTCAATCTTTCCCAGAATCAGAATCTTTTCCAGTGACTCAGTTCTTCGGATCAGGTGGCCGAAGTATTGGAGTTTCAGCTTCAGTATCAGTCCTTCCAATGAATATTTAGGACTGATTTCCTTTAGGATTGACTGGTTTGAGCTCCTTGCAGTCCAAGGAACTCTCATAAGTCTTCTCCAACATCACAGTTCAAAAGCATCAGTTCTTCGGCTCTCAGCTTTCTTTATAGTCCAACTCTCACATCCATACATGACTACTGGAAAAACCATAGCTTTGACTAGATGGACCTTTGTGGGTAAAGCAACGTCTCTGCTTTTTAATATGCTGTCTAGATTGGTCATAGTTTTTCTTCCAGGGAGCAAGCATCTTTTAATTTCATGGGCTGCAGTCACCATCTGCAGAGATTTTGGAGCTCAGGACATAAGGTCTGTCACTGTTTCCATTTTTTCCCCATCTATTTGCCATGAAGTGATGGGACCGGATGCCATGACTCTGTTAGTAAATCTTCATAAATATTATATAAACATGATTTGTAAGTTGATTGTCTTTCCCTGTTAATGTAATTTTAATGCTGTCTAGGCACTTAGAATGTAAAGACTAAAGTCGACAGGGAAACGGCCAGCGTCCGCACTGACAATCCTTAGCACAGTTCCCACTATTCTTGCTTTAGACTCTGCGTCCGCACTGACAATCCTTAGCACAGTTCCCACTATTCTTGCTTTAGACTCTGATGGCAACTGCACATGTTTTTCTCTCTGGGTTTCTGTCTTTTTTTGAAAGGCTGATTGAACTGAGTGCTGCCATACAAGAAACAGTTCTCGTAAAATATTATTTCTCTTAAGGTGCTCGCATTTGGCTGTTCATTGGTTTCATGTTGGCCTTTGGCTCTCTGATTGCATCGATGTGGATTCTTTTTGGAGGATACGTTGCTAAAGGTAAGAGAAAACAGTTTACCTTTTACTTCAATGGAATTTTGAAATTTTGCATTGAAGTTGTTTTTTTTAGAATAAAGTTTTCTTTGTATAGTTCAGCCAACTACTAGCAATGCATTTGTGCCCAGGAACCCCCCTCCCTAATCTGTATTTGTATTTGTTTTGTTTGCTATGTTTTTAGTATTCCTTTCTCCTGTATTTTTTCTTCTCATCTAGAGCCTGGAAGGGATGGGACACAGCTCCATCCCTTGTTTCTCTTTGGCTTCCAAAAACCTCAGAAGCTCAAAAACCTCATATCTTGTCCAGCTATTTGGCAAGTCTTGACTTGCTGAATAACATGCAGGCAAAGCCTTAACATCCTAGAATTGAAATTTATTGAGCTCAGCCTCCTTGATAATATATCATCATCTTCTTTTAGATAAAAAAACAAATGAACACTTAATGCGTATCTGCTATATAAGGCCAGTGTGAGGCAAGCTAGGAAAAAGACCTACTCTCAGGTCCTTGGTTGAATCTTTGCCTTGAGGGACCCCAGAAAAGTATGAAATTCATTCAGTGTTCTAGGTAAAACTGACTATGCTTATCATAGTAAAAAATAAGATATTAATGATTTGCCAAACCAGACCAGCAGAAATCTAATCTAGCTCATATTTTAACACTTCACTTTGTTAGATAAGATGTAATTCTTGGATTAAAATAATTGTTTCCCTGATTTTTTAATTCAAATTGTTTAAATCTTGCAGATAGGAATGATAGGCAGTTTTAAATATCTGTGGTTCTTCTTTTCTATGTAATTTTTTATAAAACCATGTTGCTAAAAATATAGAAAAGAAAGAGAAGAAAAACAAATAATCTTACTGCTCTTAAATATTTTGGTATATTTTCTTTGGTTTCTTTTGTTTCTTAAATAGTTGTAATCAGAGTATAATTTTGAACCTGGCCTTTTGCCTATCATATGAAATTCTCTTGCTGCTACAAAATTTATCACCATCATAGTTTAAAAACAAAAATGTTACTTTTTTATCATGTGAATTGCTTATTCATTGTAGAAAACTGAGAATATAAAAGAGCTCAAAGAGGAAAGTAAAATTACTGAAAATTCTTCTTTCCTAGATAACAACTATTAATACAGAGCCCCTTTTTGTAGGAATGTGTTCATCTCATAGACTTTGAAGTTATTTTCCTAAAGGCTTCTGAAGCCAAGTTATGCTTTGAGAATTATTAGCAGCAAATCTGTAATTTTATGAAGTGCCTTTATATAGAACCTTTATGAGTCATTCTAGTGGTAGTGGTTATTTAATGTGGCCTTCTAGTACAGAGGGTCTATACAAACCAGCTATTATGGTAGTCAGATTAACTTAAAACTCTTAGGAGGAAAAGTTGCTATTCATCACTCCTCGGTTTGTCAGTGAGTGATCATTGACAGCTCCAGTAGTAAAAACTTCGAGAATTTCAGGTTCAGTCCAGGATAAAATCGAGACAAGATGGTCCTTTGGCAGTCTTTCCTATCTTAGTGGCTACTTTCTCCATCCAGGTGTTTAGGCCCAAAACATGGGTAGTTAAGGCCTGTCAAAGATGACCCCTCTTTCTCTTACATCCCACAGCCTAATCCATCCCCAGATTCTTTTGATTCTGCTATTAAAATATATCCTGAATATGACCACTTTTTATCTCCTCTGTTGCTCCCACCCTGGTTCCATCCATGATGGTCTCTGGCCTGATTTCCTAAAATAGCTTGTTTATGTCCCCTCCCCAGCCTCACCTCGCTTTAGTCTGCTGTCTGCACCGCAGCTAGAAGATCCTGTTGAAGTGTGTCAGCTCAAGTCACTTTTCTGCTCAAAACCTTCCAGTGATTTTTTTCCTCTCACCCAGATTGAAAATCAGAGTCAGCACGACTGTGAAGCTGTGAAGGATCTGCGCCGCACCCCACCTGCCACTCGTCCTTCTTTGATCTGTCTCCTGCTTTCCTCTTTTGCCCTTGTGACTGTTCCTCCAATGTACTAGCATGCTGCCACCCCAGGGCTTTTGCACTTGTCGTTCTGCTGCTTCTGCGTGGCTGCTTCTGCCCTCACTTTCTTTGTATCCTTATACTTTTCCTTGCGTCACCTTCCCATGAGGTCCTTCTGGCCGTCTGTATAGTATATCATCATTCAGTACACTTCCCATACCTTTCCTGCTTTACTTTTTCTTCTTACTTATTCTCAACAGTGTTTAGCTCCACGAAGGCGAACGTTTCGCCTGTTTTGTTTACTGTGTTATCCTCAGCACATTCAACAATGCTGGTACGCAGTATGTGCTCGGTATTTATTAAATAAATGAAGGAAGCTACCGTTTACTAAACCAGAACTACACTCTGATATGTACTGTGTCATTTAATACCCACACCAATCATAGTTGCCAGAAAAATCAATTATGTTAGGCAGGAAAACTGACATTCACCAGTTTATCAGAAACTGAATGTTTTGAGATCATGCACCTCTAACTGTTACAATTACTTTTATAGAAAAAGCCATAGTATACCCTGGGATTGCTGTATTTTTCCAAAATGCCTTCATCTTTTTTGGGTAAGTTTGTTTTGCATTCTTTATCCTATCTTTTTTTTTCTTTTTTTAAAATGATACTTTATGTCATTGACTGTATTTAGTTGCTTAATTTCCTCCTGTCTAATGCCTCTCCCCCACGTTATTGTCATAAAGTAAGAATGAGACGGAGACAGGTATTTTTAATACGTGGGTTGGTTTACTGCCAACCTTGGAAACATACATTGATTTTTTTTAAATGCCACCACCTCTCCTTTAATGAAGAATTGTGATTCATGTAGATTTAGTTATCTGGCACTGGCACTGTTCATTTAAAATTTATGTCTCTAACAGTTGCTTTTAGTGAAAGCCTGCTTAAAGCCATTTCTTCTTAAAATTTTGTTTCTGGATGCGTTTTATGGTTCTTTCTGTCCTTGGTGTCACTAGAATTTATGTGTGATATTTGAGGTGTAAAGCCTTGACCTTTTTTTTATCCTTCTGATGCAATGACAAAAGGTTACTTAGACCCTAAAAACCTTAATACTTTTATCACTAATCTTTTCTAATGTTCACTCTTTCCTGGACATATAGGGCATGCCCTATCCGCTTTCCCTAGCCTCCCTCTTCACCCCACCTCCCAAAAAAACAACAGAAACTTCTCTTTATCCTATCTATCAGGAGTTCTTAATTCCCATTGCATGGGTAGGCTTCTAAAGACTGGGAACCACCAGACATGTCTGCATGCAAGACATTGGTTTTTCTGTTTATTTCTGGGAAGTGAGCCTATGGCTTTCATCAAATTTTCAAACATGTCTAAGTCCAGAAAAGGTTTTTTAAAAAAAACAAAACAAAACTGCTGTATATTCTAGGACAGTCTATTCTAGGACTTTCCCTTCCCTTCCTTGTCCCTTCCCACCCACCTCTTGAAAGGAAATAGATAACTCCTGTCTATTGAACCACTCATGGAATGCTAATAGTTGCCCTTTAACAATAGCCAGCAGTTGGTATTCATACTTTTTCCATTCCACCACAAAGCATTTTTGCAATTTTATAAAATCAGTTTAGAAATAGGAAAAATGTGAATTTACATATGGCAAGATATACAGCCTCTTTGGGTCATACCTTGCATCTTGAAACTAGTGGAGAAAATCCAAGAGTTTTTTTGTTTTTTCTAATGTTAAGCCATTGATTTTGTGCAGAAAATATGCCCAAAGTTTCTTGAGCACTGTTTTTGTGCAAGGCACCATTCTTAGTGTGTTACATGTGTGCTCCCAGTTGATTCCTAAAACTCTAAAGGTGGCTCCAGTGTTACCATCATTTTATATGTGAGAAATAGGCACAGAGATCATGTTCCAGATTGTGTGGCTAAAATTCAGGCTATCTGACTCTGAAGTTCAGGCTCCAGGAGGATGGAATTTGGAATGAGTTTAATTAGCATTTTCTCCTTTGTTGAGTCTTCAACCAGTTGCTTAATATTAGTTCTGTTTCTTTCCTGCCCAACCCCCCTCCTTTTTTTTTTTTTAGAGAATGTAACACTGTACTTGAAAAAATAGGAAGTGATCCAACCTCACTCCCCAAGTTTTGTAAATTTGGTAAATATGGGTAGATTTGTTATTTTGTAGGGTGGTGTATTATAGCATGTGTTTATTAGAGGGACAGTATTGATGTTTAGAATTTCTTTTCCTTTCAAGCTATAGTGCTGAGGCTTGAACATCTTTAAAGAAGGACCAGGCATCTGAGCTCAGTACTCCAGAATCTCCACAGGGTTAGAGGTGCTTGTGGGAATTCAGTGTCCCACAACTTCAGCCAATGGAAGGTAGCATAACAGGATCAGAGGCAAGGGTCAGAAAAGCTTCAGGATGGAGTGGTGGGAGGGGATTTACCGAGAACCAGCCAGGGAAGGCAAAACAGCAGCCTTCTGGGTTCTAATCATTGTTTACTCTGGCAGAGGTGGAGGATAAAGTAAGTTCCACCTTGAGATTTTGTTTCTGGCAGAGAAGTTCCTTTGTCAGAGCAGGGAGGAGGAGCCAGAGGATTGAGAGGTTTGTGGGGAAGTTTTATCTTTTTCAATGAGGGAAGAAACATCTATGTTCATACAGTAGTTACCACATTTCACAGAACCTTAAAAACCCATTGCTGACTTGTCTCAAGTTAGTTATAATACGTTATTTTTCTAAGCAACAAGTTTGGTTAATTTCTCATGTATTGCTATTGTACTTATTAAATCCAAAAACTGATTTGGTTTTGTGAAAATACTGTAGGCAAATAGCAGTTAAATCCAACTAATAGACACTGTTGTCAGGATAGTTGTAGCAGATTGCCTACCGTTTTTGAATTTATAACAGAACAGTTCTCAGCAACAAACTTAGAAATTGTTGTTTCAGACATCAAAAACAGAAATCAGTACCAAAGGTAACCATCTGACAATGCAAGAGGGACTGGCTCTCGCCTAAGAAACTCTTGAGGTTGCAGTTTGCATCTGGTGATTAGGGTGTAAAGTTAAGCCATGCCTCTTTTAAGCTATCTGTGGAGTTGAGGCTCTGGTTTTTCTTTTTTTGTAGCAGTAGTTTTGAAATTACCTGGAAGAGCACAGATCAATTGCTTTTTGGGGGTTTATGAAATCCTTTATAAAGGAAAATTCCATGAGAGGGTATAGACGACTTCCTGGTTGCTTTTTTTTTCCCATTAAAAAACACTTAAGTGCTTACCTTTATAAAGGCCTGTGAAACCTATTTTGTTTTGGCTGTGCTGAGCAGCTCACAGGATATTAGTTCCCCAACCAGGGAGCAAACCCAGGCCCCCTGCACTAGAAGTGCAGTCCTAACCACTGGACCGCTAGGAAATTTCCTATGAAACCTTTTAAAATTGACCATTTTGATTGAGGGTATATCTTTGAGTATACACTGGAAATTAGAAAATAGATGAGAAAACAAATGAAAACCAGCAGATGCCATTGTAGTATCTACTTTTCACTTCTCCCTTGCCTTAGCCCCCCGACATCCAAGCCCTGATGAGTTTGCTTCTCAATTGTCTTAACCCTCTTCTCTTTGTGTTCATTTCCTTCGTTAGGTTCGGTCATTCTCATCCCTTCCTGAGCTCTTCACACTCTTGACTGATGTCTCTCTTGGGTCCAGTTTTCCTGTATCAGTGTTCCTTCTAAAACACTAGAAAATGGCAGCCCACTCCAGTGTTCTTGCCTGGGAAATTCCATGGTCAGAGGAGCCCGGTGGGCTGCAGTCCACCGGGTCACAAAAAGTCTGACACCGCTGGGTGACTAACACTTTCACAGAAGGGATTGCCACTAGGGGCCATCCAGCAAAATTCAGAGCAGTATTGTTTTGTTTTATTGAGCTGACATTTTAAAATGAAGGTATTTTACCTAAAAATCAGAATTCTTGAAAATCTAGAGGATCCGCCAACCCTGGGCCCTGGCTCAGCAGCAGTCGTCTGGAGCTGAAGTTGTTTCTTTTACCCGAGATGCGTCTCTGCGTAGTCCCAGCTCCTGCGTTGTCTGGGCCCAAGCTGCCTTTAGTAGATCACAGGCTGGTGCCCGCCCGCTTGTCTCATCTGAGGCTCCCAAAGGCCCCTGTGGGCAATTTGCCACTCTGGTCAGTTGGCTTGCCAAACCCTGACCACTGCCATTTCTCATGCTCCTTGCCTCTTAAACTGTACCCTACCCATATTGAACTCTCCCCTGCTCTCCCACACCACAGGTATTTATATCGAGGTATATATCAATGAGCCAAAAACTTTGTTCAGGTTTTTCCATAAGATCATACAGGAAAACCCGAACGAACGTGTGTGTGTTCTTATGCATCTGCCCTCTTAAATTGAAGCCTTAAAAAAAAAGCTATAGACACTTCCCAAAATAAAACCTAGAGTATAGGCTCTGTGAGGGCATTTCCTGACATGTCCGTCTCTGGGGCTTTGCCTGAGGACCCATGCTCTTTTTTTTTTTTTTGACCTGTGATCTTTTATTCCTCTTTGCCTTTTTATTTTTCCCCTCTTTGCCTTTTGATCTGCCATTTCCTCCCCTGAAACATCTTCACCGTCCCACCAGCTCCCGCTTCTCCCACCCTGCCATTCAAACTCCTCTTATCCTTCCATGTTCTTCTAACATCACCACCTCTGTAAGTCCTTTCCTGACAAATTCAGGCAAAATAAATCCCCATATGGGACTTCCTAGTGGTCCAGTGGCTAAGACTCTGTGCTTGCAATGCAGAGTTCGACCTGGGTTCGATCCCTGGTCTGAGAACCAGATCCCAGATCCCACATCACAGCTAAGACCTGGCACAGCCAAATAAATAAATATTAAAAAAAAAAAAAATCCCCATATGTTCTCTGCTCCCTTAACATGTGGTGTATATGCCTCTCCCCACCCCCGACCCTCTGTACTTACCACGTTGTGTCATCAAGAACATAAGCAACTTGAAGTTCGGGACTATATCTTTGCCTTTATAACCCTAGCTTTTCGCACTGCCATCTTGACTCAGAAAAGGCTTGTTAAGGGAATTAGATAATATCAGACATATAATGGTTACACACTAAACACTGGTTAACTTCTTAAGAGGGACATACGTCTCCAAACTCAGAAGTTCAGGTTGCAGGATAGCTTGTGGTAAACAGCACAGTCGCGTACATTGGCCGAGCTTACAACCCTGGAATGATCAGTTTCTGTTCTGATACATCCCATGGGTTTTTCCCATACAGCTCATCAATTATTCTTTGTCGCTAGTTTCCCACAATTCTAAATCTCTCATCTTTTTTCCCCAAACTCAGCCAGTCATATGATATTTCTTGTTCTTTTCACAGAGGACTCGTTTTTAAGTTTGGCCGCACTGAAGACTTATGGCAGTGAAAGCTTCTGATTCGTTACTGCCCAACAGCCCTGCGTGGGGTTTCTTTTTGTTTGGTTGTTTTTTTTTTTTTTGCTACTCACTCCCAGTCTTTTGTAATGCCATTTTCTAAACTCCTTTCTGAGTATAGTCTCAACTTAAATTTGTATAATACTAAAATCATGAGAACTCTCTCTAATCAACAAGCGCAGCAAAATCTATTGTGATATACATGTGATTACATTTGATTAACTTGTAAAATGTTGAAGAAAAGTATTTCACGTGAGAAATTTTTATTACATTTTATCATGTTTATAAAAATAAATCACAAAAGAAATCATGGAAGCATCTTATATGAGTATTTGTCATATCCAAAATCCAAAGCTGCAATTAAAGTGCTCTGAAGATTTAATGTGTTTATTTAAATGTGGCCTATTCTGTGTCAAATACTAGATGAAACATAAATAATGATGAAATATAAACATGTTCTTGTTTTTAAAAACTATTCAGTGGTCAGAATTCTTTCTCACTATCCTTTGTGTTTGCTTTATTAATGTATGGTTTTGCCAAAAATTCTGTAAATATTTCAGTGTAAGTAGTTATTGAGGGTCTCCCAAGGGGTGAGTGAATATGTTGAAAGAGAGAAGCCCCATAATCTAGCCACCAGTTTCCTCAGAAGTGTCCCTTCAGTGCCACTGACTCGGCTGTGACCCTGGGCCTGGTGGGACGCTAACGGTTACTCCACAGCCACCGTGGAAGGAAAGAGGAAGCGGAGAGGGGCTTGGTCTTTACTCCGGTGACTGACTCTCTTGTTGTTGGTTTGATAATAAATTGAATTCCATTTTGTTGTATCTCTACTGAACCACTAAGCTCAAAATAGACCAAGTGAGGTCGGTTATAATGACAGGTGTCCAGCTACTGGGAACTCTTAGTCTGCTCCTTTTTGGAATTCTTTTATCCCCCAGGCTCCCCACTTTAACATAATGGGAATTTTTTTTCTTTAATGAGCTAGCTAACTATGTGGGTACATGTTCTTCAGAACTAAAGCTTGAAATATTGTCATATTAATAAAGCTTGCAACAATTAGCTATTCGTTAACCACCAAATACCTCTCAGATGATTTAGATTGTGGTACCCTTTCTATGTCAGCCACAGTTTTCTCCCAGTGTGTATGTTATTTTGTTTGTTTTTAATTTTTAGTTTTTGGTTACACTGTGTGGCATGTGGGATCTTAGTTCCCTGAACAGGGATCGAACCTGCACCCCCCTGCATTGGAAGCACCGAGTCTTAACCACTGGACCGCCGGGGAAGTCCCTACTGAGTATGTTTTGAATGTTGCCTGGTCATCAGCTACTCAAGGAAATGACTATCACTGTCATTTCACCATCAAATCACTGTTTTTTAGATCCACAGGTATGAGAATTGGAGGAGATCTTGGGGATTGAAGTTTACCTTCTCTTTTTACAGATAAGGGAACCCAGACCATGGCGATTTAAATGATATCCTCAGGGTTATAGGACTAGTTTTTAAATCTTGAGGCAGTCTGTCTCCACGTTCACAGATGTTTTCCCTACAGTTAAATTCAGGATGTGCTCAGGGAATAAGAACTCCTTGTAAAACCACTGGAATAAAAGCATAATGTCAGCAAGGATTAAATCTGAGTCTTCAGTTTTCCGCTGTTTCATATCAGCTGCTCTGCTGATACAGGTGAGTTAGCGGTGTAGCTTAATACTTTATTAAGCACAAGAAAGAATCTAGGGATTGTCAATAAAATTGAACCAAAACCTTAATGTCTTTCCTCATAGTTTAATCAGTAAAGAATCTGCCTGCAATGTAGGAGAACTGGGTTCGATTCCTGGGTCAGGAAGATCCTCTGGAGAAAGAAATGGCAACTCACTCCCATATTGTCGCCTGGAGAATCCCATGGATAGACGAGCCTGGCAGGCTACAGTCTGTGGGATCGCAGGAGTCGGACATGACTTAGCAACTAAACCACCACCACCACCATGTGTCTGTACCCAAGACAGTATTGAGAGCATCATCTTTCATGAAACTAAACATAATTATTTAAAATCATTATAAGATTATTAAGTTTATAGTCTTTTATTTTTAGTATCAAATCTATGTGACCTGTCTCATTGTACATAAGGAGACTTTGCTATAACAAGTGGTTGTTGCACGTGCGCACACACACACACACATACAAATGGGCAATGGTGAAAAGTTGTCTTGTTTTCAAACAGGCCTTGTTTCTCTTGGATGCTTTCCCTTAATATCCAACAGCCAAATGTGGAAACTGTAAAAGCAAAGCAAACTTTTTTTATTATAGATGAACCCTTACACACTCAATATTGCACACATACTGATTCTGATTTGATCTTTTGAAACTTGTGTTGCCCAAAATGTTACTTTATCACAAAGGCCTTATCACAAATAAAGAACCTTTATCACAAAGTTCTTTCAAAAAAATCTGAATTGGAAGACCTCTTAGGTAAATCTCATTTCATACAGCTCTTTACATGGATCATTCATGGTCACCTGGCTTTTGGTTGTATAACTCCAGTGAAAGGAGACTCATTACCATGTGAAGTAGTTCTTCCCATAAGATCTTATGGAAAAACCTGAATGAACTTAATTGGCCAACCCAATAGTGTCATCTGTCATCCAGGGATGAGATGGGTAGGTATCCTTGGGGTTGGTGAGTGTCCCACCCTAGGAACTGCTGAGCATGGTCTGGGAAATCAGTGATGGAATGTCCTTTTTAACCTCTGGTAGTCTGCTTCTATGACATACAATAAGGGCATTTCATAATGTTTAAGATGTCCTTTTGGATGGTTTACAAAAAAAAAAAAAAAATCATTCCTGGATTTATCAGCTTGGGAAGTTCATATTCTTGCATTTCAAATGCAAGCTGTAAAGCATTACCCTGCTGAAAAAATGGTTCTACTCAGTTGTTAAAAAAAAAAAAAAAGCGAAAAAAAAAATCAGAAGATTTGGGGAAAAATAGCCATTCTCTGGTAGCTGACCATAACACATACACACATACACATATGTGTCTCTGAAGCCAGACAGACATCGATTCAGCTTCCTCCTGTACCATTTACTAGCTCTGTCATTTTGGACGAGTGACTCATCTTTAGATGGGGAGACTTAATCTTATGCAGGGTTTTTGTGAGGATAAAGTCAGTTTGAGTAAACTCCGGGAGTTGGTTATGGACAGGGAGGCCTGGCATGCTGCAATTCATGGGTTCGCAAAGAGTTGGACACGACTGAGCGACTGAACTGAACTGAAAGTCAGACAATGTTGAAAAGCATCCAGGACGGACTCAGAAACAGTAGGCTTGCAGTAGGCGATAGCTGTGAGACTTAACACATTCCACTGTGGTGTGGCAGGAGGGCTCAGCAGTTGCAGCACTTGGGCTCAGTTGCCCCGGGACATGTGGGATCTTAGCTCCCTGACCAACGACTGAATCAGCATCCGCTGCATTGGAAGGTAGATTCTTAACAACTGAATCACCAGGGAAGTACCGATACATATGTTCTTACCTTGATGTGGTCATGGTTTCAGGGGTGTATAAGTATGTTTAAAGATACCAAATTATATACTTAATAATGTGTGCAGTTCGTTGTCAAGTAAACCTCCAGAAAGCTGTTTCAAGAGGAAGAGGAGCACAGAGATGAAGGAATAGGGGAGGAGGTGGTGGGTTCTCTCCGTTTCGCCCCTACAGACCTGAATACCAAGGTCCGTAACAAGGCTGGTTCTGTGTCCCCCTGGTGGTCAGTGTCTGGGCCTGCTAGGTGGAGAAAGGATTGGCCCGGGACTCAGAAGGCCCGCTTTCATTCACAAAGGCATCAGCTGCGCATTAATCTGCCCTCTGTTGGCCCCTGCTTCCCATTTATAACTTGGCCATATGGGTCCCTGCTTGCGTCGCCAACCTCAGCATCAGTTGGAAGATTACCTAACACACACCAGAGTACTTTGTGAACTGCAAGTGCAGGTCAAAGGGAGGAAGGCAGTGGGGTCTCAGGGAATGAGCCCTGACCTTCCTAGCCCAGTCATGACAACAAACCCTACAATGTCACCTAGACTGTCAGTGGCGCTGAATTATTTGAGTTTTCTATCTCTTGACTCACTGACCCCAGGTCCCTATACTGCACGTTTTCTTGGTCCACTGGCTGTAATTTATCCCGCTCTTGCTCTCAAAACTTAGACAGTCATGACTCCGCTCAGAAGTCTAGCAAATGCAGGCCCTGGACTTGCTGGCCCCTGTGGGCCTTCTGGCTTTTGCACTGCAGGATTCTATCACCTTCATGTTGAACTATTAGCCCACTTCGGTGACTCCAGATGGGGAGGAGACGGGGCCAGTGTCAGTTCTCACATCCCTGACCCTCCGTGATTTTGAGGCATCAGGGAAATGGGAACGTCTACTACCCCACCCCTGACCAACACAAACACACACACACACACACACACACACACACACACACATATCATGGATTTGCTTTTCCTCCAGTGCTCCTTACTTCATTTTTACTTTACTCTCCATAAACACCAAGTTAACATACATAACCCAGGTATCTTTTTAAGTCCATTCACTCCAAACCTATGACATTAATAGGTTAAAAATCTTACCTTCCAGAAAGATTGGTCGTCAAAATAGTGACTCTTGTGAGTTGATTTCCATATGTTGAGGTTTAAGAGCAAGCCTGTTTAAGTTCATAAATAAATGTTACACATTTAGAGGATTGCATTTATCTCAAAGTTAATCAGACTATCATATCTCACCTATGATAACTCAACAGAAATCCTTTTATCTTCCACAACTGGGAGATAGACACACAGAAGCACTGTTCTTCCCGGACCTGTTTAATTAATTCTACAGAGATCTTTTAAAAGGAACTGGTAAGAACAATTATATCCAAAGGATTAGGTTACACCGAGAGGTATATGATAGTCATGGATCTAACACGCTTCCCAAGACAGAGAAGAAGGACCCTGTTGGACAAAGCCCCACTTAGAGGCTGATTCATTTAAACACAAGAGCTACCATGGAGAGCGACTCAAACAGCCACCCTTGCAGGTTCATCCTCCCTGGTTCCAATAAAGTCCCAGTGACCTCAGCTCCAGATTCCACTGGTTAGGAAAGCAGGTAATAACATGTGCTTCTGTGCTTGTTCTTGTCAGCCATCCCACCTCTGCCCAGAGAGCTAGGGCCCTATGCATTGCCCCAGGTGCTCAAAGTGGAATTTCCAGTTAAAAAATCGTGCTTACCTTTCATGTGAAGCAGGGAAATGCCACTGATAGACTTATCTGTGTATTTTTAATGATGATCCATCCCAATGTATTAAATAGTAAGATTAACAAGAGTAGGCGTGTGCTCATTCACACTTGCCTCTCACAGTGTGTGCCTTTAACTGATATTGGCATGATGAGTGTAATCTACACACCTCATTTAGCTAGAATTACTCATAAATGAACCTCTGTTGCCTACATATATTTTTCAGATAGTTGAGGCTTACTCATCACTGATGAAAATCCATCTAAAATATATTTTCTTGCCTTGTGAGACAACACTGAACACATTTAGACTTTAAAAAAAAATTAGAGCTGTTGATAGGAATATCCATTTATCAAAGGCGCTGTATAACGTGGAGAAGGGCCACAGCTGCTGAAAGCTACTGGCCTGTTCTCTGGCAGCCCAAGCTTCTCATGTTCTTGTGTCTGGTTTTAAGAATTTATTTTCTCCTGTTAGGCTCTTTGCTTTCACTGCTGACTTCTACCAATGCGTCTTACCTCTGGAAATCTACCTCTAATCTGCTATTTTTAATCTGCCTGAACTATGAAAACCCT